ATTGGAGGTTAACTGCTTTACAATATTGTAGTGGTTTTTGCTATACATTGACATGAATCAGCCATGGGTGTACGTGTGTCCCCCATCCTGAACCCCCACTCCCACGTCCCTCCCCATCGCATCTCTCAGGATTGTCCCAGTGCACCAGCCCTGAACGCCCTGTCTCATACATCAAACCTGGACTGGTGATCTACTTCACATATGGTAATATACACGTTTCAATGCTATTCTCTCAAATCATCCCACCCTCCACCTTCTCCCATGAAGTCCAAAAGTCTGTTCTTTATTTCTGTGTTTCTTCTGCTGTCTTGCATATAGGGTCATTGTTACTATCTTCTGAATTCCATATATATGTGTTAATATACTGTACTGGTGTTTTTCTTTCTGACTTACTTTGCTCTGTATAATACGCTCCAGTTTCATCCACCTCATTAGAGCTAATCTAAATGCATTCTTTTTAATGGCTGAGTAATATTCCATTGTGTATATGTACCACAGCTTTCTTATCCATTCGTCTGTGGATGGACATCTAGGTTGCTTCCATGTCCTGGCTGTTGTAAACAGTGCTGTGATGAACATTGGGGAACACATGTCTCTTTCAATTCTGGTTTCATCAGTGTGTATGCCCAGCAGTGGAATTGCTGGGTTGTTTGGCAGTTCTATTCCCAGTTTTTTAAACAGTTTTTCCACACTGTTCTCCATAGTGGCTGTACTAGTTTGCATTCCTAACAACAGTTTAACAGGGTTCCCTTTTCTTTGCACCCTCTCCAGCATTTATTGTTTGTAGACTTTTTGATAGTAGTCATCCTGACTGGCATGAGGTGGTATCTCATTGTGATTTTGATTTGCATTTCTCTGATAATGAGTCATGTTGAGCATCTTTTCATTTGTTAGCCACCAGATTAACATTTGAATCAGTAAACTGAGTAGAGCACATTTCCCTCTTTAGATGGGTGTTAGTCACTCAGTTGTGTCCAACTCTTTGGGACTCCATGGACTGTAGCCTGCCAGGCTCCTCTGTCCATGGGGTTCTCCAGGTGAGAATACTGGAATGGGCTGCCATTCCTTTCTCCGGGGGATTGCCTTACTCAATTAGCCAAAGGTCCAAATAAAATAAAAAGGTCGACCTTTCCCTTAGTAGGAGGGAACTCTTTCTGCCTGACGGGCTGGAGCTGGGATACAAGTTCTTTCCTGCCTTTAGACTCTAATGAAACATGGGTTCTTTTTAGGTCTCAAGCCTCCTGGCTTTCAGACTGGAATACACCAGGGTGTCTCCAGCTTGGTACCTGCAGGTCTTGGGACTTGTCAGCTTCCATAATCTTGTGAGCCAATTCCTTGTAATAAACTGCACACACCTACACACATATACTCGCATGCACCCTACTGGTCCTGTTTATCTGCAGAACCCTGGTTAAATATAGGCTAGAGGATTAATTGGGAGGAGAAGAAAAAATAGAATTAGAAAGAGATTTTAGTTTATGATGATGTCTCTTAATGGAGAAATTAGCAAGTGTTGTGTAGAGAGAAAGCAACTGTATCACCTCTCCCAGTTCAGTTCAGTTCAGTCGCTCAGTCGTGTCTGCCTCTTTGTGATCCCATGGACTGCAGCACACCAGGCCTCCCTGTCCTTCACCAACTCCCGGAGCTTACTCAAACTCATGTCCATGAGTCGGTGATGCCATCCAACCATCTCATCCTCTGTCATCCCCCTTCTTCTCCTCTTCCAAGGCTCTTCAATTCCAAAACTGTGGAGAAGATTTGAATGAAGTTTCAGTAGTCACTATTCAGTTCACTAACCTTCATTCCTGTAAATTATACAGTTTGGATAGGCTAGAAGAAGGCAAATTACAGGCTGATTTACAGATATGTGGTGGTGTTGTTCACTGTTCAGTTGCCTAGTCATGATTGACTGCATCCGACCCCATGGACTGTGGCATGCTAGACTTCCCTGGCTTTTCCTATTTCCTGGAGTTTGCTCAAACTCATGTCCATTGAGTCAATGATGCAGATGTTTGACAACACCCAGAACCAATAGGGGGAAGCTTGCCAATAGCAGCAGTTAGTGGGGAAGCCCAGCAGAATGGAGGGCAGGACAGCTGCAAAGCAGGAGAGCACATTATATTCGGATTAGCTTCTGCTTGAATGGGAGTTGGCATCATGGTGAAACCCCCTAAATATTTCAGGCAAAATATTAACTACTCTGGAAGCCAGGCTAACTTGAGGAAATCAGGAGATAAAGAGAGAGCAGAATTAAGAGTTCCCTTTTTTAATGGTGCTTGAGGGGTGGATATTATCTCAAAAATGGTGGCTTAAAAGGTTCAGTGTCACTATTGTTCAAATTAGAAAATGCCTTGAAAAAATAGGAAAAAATTATAAGGCTCATTAGAATTTTTATCGTGGTTGTGGGAAAAACTGTAGAAATAACTGCTCCAAATTTAATGAAGGAGCACATTTTAAGGCAAGTTTTGATGCAGTGAGCACACATTTATGACAGAGGGCCATTTTGTTTAATTATCCTGTTCGTGGAGAGTATTTGTGCCTCATATATATAAGATGAATATGGATAGACTATACAGATTATTTTGGATGTTCAAATAAAGAAAGCTTCAGGACAATGGTGATACAATTTTAAGAGAATTTACATAAGTGGAGTTTGGAATTCTTATAATTAAGATATTATATGAGAAATTTGCTCATATTATAGAAGACTTAGAAATTAGGGGAAAAGGCACCAATAGTGCCACGACCTCAACTACAATCACTATTATTACTTTGATATATTTTATTTCTCGTATTAAAATGTATTTTTAAACAGTTTTAGTTATAGTTATCTAGCTTTTGTCATTAAACATTCTGTTATAAACATGCAACAAGGATTGTAATTGTAACATATTCAACCTCCTTTTCTCTTTTTTTTTTTGTTTTAAAGGGTACCCAACTTTTGTTGAGTGTAACTTCTCTAGGCACAAAAATGTTTGAGGTTGCTACTGAATAAATGCCAAGCCCTAAGCTGGAAGGTCAGGCGCTTGTTGGTTGCTTACTCCATGTCTGTTTCACCAGCCTTCTTTGCTAACAGAACCCTGATCTTGTCCGGATATTGTCTTCCTTGACATGATTCAAAGGTGGGTGACCCATTCTGTGGCTTAATAGTTGATCCTTGGTTTAGATGATAAGATATGAGGGTGGGGAGTCTTTTCTTGCTCTTAAAAGGGTAGCAGAAGAGATGGTCCTTGGATGGCAGAACCAAGTTATGAAAGGAACCTAGGATGGTGATGAGCACTAAGTCAGTTAACTCTGAAACCTCTGGCTTCTTCACTGTTGAAGCACATTTGAGTTAGGTTTTCTGTATTCAAGGAGAAAGGATTCTATCTGAGAGATGAAGGTCATATTTTGCTTTGACATTCAAAATCAAATTATACAATAGGTCAAGAACAGTGAGAGATTTACTTGAGAGATTTATTACATTCTGTAGCTCTCCTCGCTCTCTCTGTGTCCACCCCTGTCCCTTCCTGCCAGCCGCCCTCTGGCTAGCATATTGACAACTGAATCTGGAATATTTAGTTTACAGTGTTCTCCAGCTGTATGGTGGAGACCTTTCTGCCAACCTCTAAGACTTAACTGGGAATTAGAGGAAAGAAGGCCTTAGGGAAAAAAAGTAAACCTTTATGGGCTCAGGGGATTGTGGACTGTGGGAAGTATGGGCGGGAGAGAAAGAGAGGACAAAGCATTCAGATATGAGTTTGAGCTCTTTTTTTCTAGTTCAGCAGCGGAGATTCATTCTTTGGGGGGTAATCCTGAGCCAAAAGAAGAGGGTTATTGCCTTTTCTCCCCTTGGTCATGGCCGGAGAGAAAAGTAGTGTAAGATGTTCAAGAAAAGGGCAGGGAGCTGAGGTTAGGTTTTTGGGGAGAAATTCCTATGCCGTATATATAGATGCTAAGACAAGAGCAGTGTGCTTGCCACAGGCTCACTTAAGGCAAAGGCTGGGATGGATGCTGGGCCACAGGGTGAGGTGGGGACCTGGCTGAGGCTCAGAGTTCTTCTATAGTGTGCTCCAAAGTGAGGCCAGATTACCCAGGAAGTTCTAATTAACTGAAACAAGAGACCAGACTACATGTTACACCAGAGGCAGATCTCATCCTTGAATGCAAGTGAGGCAGTCTAGAGATCAGAGCATGTGAGGCAGCAGTCATGGAAGGTCCTGCCAAGGCCAAGGGTGATGGTCTTTCTGCTCACTCCCATCACACAGCACAGTCCATCTTCTTATGGAAAAAGAAAACAGGTAAGGGAGCCTGAATAAAACCCAAAGGGAATATTATCATTGTTATTATTAAATTATTACATTGGATACATCTCAGTCTGGACAGAATAATAAAAGCTATTTTTTTTCATTTAAAAAAAGTGAGAGCTTAGTATGATGGTGAAATTAATTAATTATATCAATTAATTATAGACAAAATAAGCATTTTCTCTGTGTTTCAAAACTAAAGTGTGAGTTGAATTGAATTTTTTCTGTGTTCAAGATAAACATAGTTTTAATCACTGCAGTTTATAACAGTGGCACAATAGTCCATGACAAACATCTTTGAGCATACAGATTTTTCTACATTTCGGGTTATTTCTTGAATTAGACTTCTGCAATTAGTTTGCCGTTTCAACAAAATGATCATTTTCTTTTTATGCTGAAATGCTCTCCAATAAAGCAATTTTAATTTACACTATTACTAGCACCAAAGTATCAATTACAGTTTCACATATTCTCTTGCATTTAATATTTTTAAATATATATATTTTCATATAATAAGTGCAAAACATTGGTGTTTTAATTTACTTCTTATCAGTCAGTAGAATATATATTTTTAAAAAATTCATTTTCATCTGTAGTGATTATTTAATACTTATAGTTTATTTCATTAGATGCAATATCAAACATTTTGTACCTTTAGAAAGCAATGTTTGTTTACTGTAAAGAAGTTAGTGAATTCAGTCTCAGGCCTTTACGCCTGTTGGGGGACTTTAATAAGGATGGCAAATGGGCAGAGCTGTTCAGAAGCCCATGATGCATCTCTTTTTGGAGAGGGTTTACTTGGGGTAAGCCCTACCCATGAGCTTTAAAAAATTTCCACTCTGAGCTTCCGTGATAGCCTGGCACCATATTCTCATTTACAAGTTTCCTGGCTGCAACTTATAAGAAGGAAGTTTTAGAAACCAAACAGTGTATGCTCCTACTCTTGAAAATCATCCAACAGACAATATTGTAAAGTTTCGTGGCTTTCATCTCTTTTCCTTTGCTTCTTTTCCTGCAATGAGTGTGTCCCAGCAGGCATGGGCTGCTTATTTGACCTGCTCCATGGGGGTGCAGGTTCCTGTTCTTCTCATCACATCACACCACATGGTGCGTGAGGTGGCTGTGTCATCCGACAGAGTGTCACCAGCCTCCTTTGGAAGTCAGCATCTGAGGAGACTGTGGGAAATCACAAGGGTGACTGAGACCTCTCCCTAACCCCGCCATCCTTCTCCACTTTCCACAAATAGTGTGCTGTGACCTGTCCCCACTTATCTCAGTGATCCTCAGCTCGCTCTCATTGGACATTGACGAGAAGAGTGAAGTTGCTGTTGGTTCTTGCCATCCGGGGAGCCTGCCTCCTGCTGCTTCTGGGACAGACTTGCCCTGGGAAGGGCCATTCAAATCCCCAGGTAGTCAGTCCTGAAGGGCAAGATCAAAGATCCAAGTTTTGTGTCTAGTTAAACTGGGCTACATGTGGGAATACTGAAGTTTATCAGATTAAGGAAGAAAGTGACAACAGAAGGAAAAAGAATCTTTATCCCACCAAACAAAACTCTTTTAATTAGTGTATATTTCAAGCCTTTCTTTTTGGTCAACTTTTATAAATCCAAATTGGAATACACACACAACCTTGCAGTTTGCATTTTTGTTTCTGTGTCTATATAAACAAGCTTCCACACACTGTTACACAGTGTTATGCAGGTGTGGGGAGTTTGCAAATCTGACATGGCTTCCCTGTGCTTCTTGCCAGGGGTTGGCCCAGAGGTGCTCAAGTGACCAGCTGTGGCCCATGTGGTGTGACTAGGGTCTGCTGAGTATACCTCTCAGAAAGAGGAGATGCAAAGGAAGAGCCAGGCCTTCTTCTGTGGGGCCCGGTTATGCTTGCAAGGTGATCCTCGTTACTGAGCAGGCATCTGTTTATTATGAGGCCCACTACAGAGGCAGCAAACACGCTGAAGATGGCAACTATTCCCTAAGAAACTGTTTTGTCCAAGATGTGCTGCTGTGAGTAAAGTAAGCACACCGTGGTCCCTGCTCTAGTTACAAGACAAACCTACAATCTACTGATGAGACAAAGAGTTCCAAATAATTATAACACAAAGCCAGTGTGATGCTTCCTTTAGCGTTGTTATTCCTAACCAGTGGCACGTAAAGACGACTGTCCAATGCTTTACCAGTTAGCAGTTCTGGGTTACAGCACCTCTGTAATCTGATTGGGTTACCACATATCACTGACCTTGGTCATCTACCCATTTGTAAAATGAGGAAGCTATACTATTTGAGCTCTGTGTCTCTTTTAATTATTAATAATATTTTATATTTCTCCCATTCTGGTAATAATAAGCTGGCATGTGACTAATTGAATGAATGACTCCTCAGAGGGTTTTTTTGTGGGGAGTAGGGGCTGTTTTTTGCGTGTGTCAAGAAGTTATATAAAAGTAAAACAGAACAATGAGAGAAAAATTGTAAGGTGCACAGATGTTTGGTAGGCAGGTGGAATTAGATATACTTTGCAAATTGATAGAATGAAAACGAGCTAATTTTATTTTGGATTATAAAAATAAGATATACAGTGTGTTGGGTAATAGAAAAATTATGTGTCCAGGAAGAGGTAGGAATTGGAGGGTGGCCTGACTGTCATCTTTAGGCTGGTGAAGGGCACAGTGCTAATTGATCATCTTCTTCACTTTGTGTTTCCTCCCATCAGTGCAGTAGGTCAGTGGTGCTGATTGGATGGTGAGTCAGAGAAAATGAAAGGAAACCTATTTCTACTCTGGGTTCTCAGCACATAGATTTATTGCTCCTGTATTTATTTCAGCAGCAAATATAGAACCAGACTCAAAATGACAAGTTTACAAGCCAAGCAGGACCTGTAGTTGAATACATTCCCCAGAATAATGACATTTCCTCCTTGCAAACCAGCTGTTACCCAGAAGGTTAAGAAAGAAAACTCTCTGTGTAGCACTGTCTAGTTGGCTAGATCCAGGTGCTCCATGTATAAACATGGCTTTGATATACTCTAGTTTCAGATCTTTTGAGGTATCAGTTTTTGTGGGACTATCCCAAGTTGCCTCACCTTTCTTTGAAACACTGTGCTAAGTTGCTTCAGTTGCTACTTTGTTCTCTATATTCTGCTCTAACTCTCTTCTATTCTAACTATGGCAGTCAGTTAAAGCACACATCATGTCACTGGACTGCTACAAATTCATCAGGAGTTTCCCAGTGTTACCAAGAATACACTCTATCTCTTTATGATGGAGCACAGGCTGCTGTGTTATTGGTTCTTGTTTTCATCCTCACCCTTGTCCCATAGTACTGTCTTGCTTGCTCACTCTGCTTTCTAAAAAGAAACCTCCTAAGCTCCTTTCATTTAGAGGTCCTTTGAGGTCATTAATTTATTTATTCATTCACTTAAATCATCCATTCAGGTAAAAAATATTTACTAAGTCCCTCCTAAGAAGTGCCAACTACTGTTTTAGTTGTGGTCACATAGGGTTATTACATGTGTGAGCTGGCATTTGTGCTCACAGAGATGAACTTGCCTAGGAAGAATTGCAAAAATGTATTTCTAGCACTTCTCATTTAATTCAGTTCATTTTAAGATAATAAAGAATTGGCATATTTTGTTACCCTTGGTTTTGTGGTATTAGAGGCATAACTCTAGAGTCTAAAAAAAAATTGCTTTAGCAAAAAGAATGATTTCAAGAGGTAACCTATTTCCATACCGTTTTTTTGTGCTTCATGTATGATGCATATATCATAACGGCTCAGATTTGTGTATTTTGCATTTTTAAGAAGTTTGAATTGAGGGAGGAGAATATTCTGTTTATCTTTAATGGAACAGCTTGACTCTGTGCTTCACAGTCACCAACTTTAAGTCACTGTTACACTAGGAAAGCAAATGGACCAGGGCATAAAGAGCAGGTCAAAGATTGTATGGAAAATGACAATATTTTACAATGTAGAATTTTGGCAAAATGTGAATACTATAGTTACACATTCAAACCTCTTCAGCTGCTGAGGTATCATCTAATAATGTCCAACAATTGGCTCCCCAGCAGGTGTACTCCAAATGTAATGATGTTCTTGAAGCTTTTCTTTACAGAATCATTTCTCAAATGTGTACAGATTGCCTTGTGTCAGTGTGGAGAGCCCTTTTAGCATTTCAACTCAGATTTCAGAGGAAGACTCATTAATTAGGGCTTTTTCAGACAAATTCCCTCACTGACAAGAAAAACTGCTGACACATTACTGAGATGATACCAAAGTTCAAACCGTGTGTGTGTGTGTGTGTGTGTGTGATCTCTTTGAAGTTGAACTTTTCATTCCAAAGTTTATGGTGTTTCACTTCTGTTGATTTTATGTCTGTGTTTCCAACTAGGTTGAAAAAATTTTTAGAACAGATAATATCATGGTATATTATTTTTTCCTTCTTTCTTCCCTCTCTTCCTCTCTCCTGTATTTCCCCAGCTAACACAATCAGTTTTCAGCATATGACAGTAAATAATAGATACTCAATGTAATTTTTCCCATTAGACTATAACCTTGAGAGAGAGAACTGACCATCTTATTCATCATTATAACCTTGATGTCTGGTGCCTGGGTATAGTAGGCACTCCCTAAATTTTCTAAATCAATAAGTGAAAAAGTAAATTTTGTTGATTAACTGATTATGATAAGTACTGCTTCAGAGGCACTTACTCACTTACTGAAATCCCTGGAAACTCTGGAGAAGCCCCAAAGAAGTGGATGCTAAATGCGTAAATGGCTCATTCTATTTTACAGTGAAGACATATTTCTGGCTCAGTTGAACAATAAAATTAAGACATTTGAGTATGACTATCTTCTCGACCAACTATTTGTAGAGAACTCCCTGGAGAGAGCCTGAAGCATCACCGTATATGACATGGTGGCTGTTTTCCCTCAGTCTGGTATTTCTGTCTGATGGGATCATGGGTCTCTGACCTTGATCCACTGCTCTCTACTTGTTCACCCTGGGTAAGAGAACTCAAGGGGCATGGGGAAATCTTACTGACAAAGGACCACACTCTTCTAAGGGATGCTGAAATGTGCAGATGCTGTTATCATGAGGCACGGCTAGGTAAAAATTGCATACACAGAAATGATCATAAGGTCTGATGCATGATTCTATATGGGCTTATTTTATTAATATTATTGTATAGAATGTAATATATACTACACTATTGTATATTATGAATAGTATCTATTCTATTAGCATTACAATATTCTATATTATTATTTTATTATTTCCTATTCTATGATGTTTTTATTGTGCTAACAAAATACACTTTATCATCAAAAGTGAAAGTATTAGCTGAGTTGTGTCTGACTCTTTGCATCCCCATGGACTTCTGTGTCCATGGAATTCTGGCAAGAATACTGGAGTGGGTAACCCCATTCCCTTCCCCAGGGGATCTTCCTGACCCAGGGATTGAACCTGGGTCTCCTGCATTGCAGAGAGGTTTTTTACAGTCTGAGCCTCCAGGGAAGCCCACACTATGGTTCATCTATATTCTAGTTAAATAATTTATTATTATTATTCATCCTTATATTTATGAGAGATATGTTGATATTCCATTCATTTTCAAAAGATGAAACAGAATCACAGTAGTGAGACAACTTTTTGTGTGAGAAGAACTTCTTAAGAAAGGATTACAACTAGCAGCCTCCCTGGTTGAAAGACCATACATTACCCAAATCCTCAGGCCAACTTTCTTTGTGATTAACTAGATCTGCAAGATGGACAAGAGGCTGTTATTACTGCAGTGTGAAAACATGAGAGAATTCTAACTTTAAGTGACAGTCACTTCTTATGCACTTAACATTTTCCTAACAGTTTCTTCAAACTCTACAGAAAAAATGTGAATGCTCTGAATGAGTCACTCTGCACTCAAGGGAATTAGCTATCCTTATTTCTCTGGGTTATTGAACCCAAGCATTTATTTCCTGTCTTCTGTTTTGTAGAGTGTATATTGGAGTAAATTGAGGGTGAGTGAATTCTCTAACACCTTAGAGTTGGAAAGAATATTTGGGATCGTCCCCGATACAAGAAGCCCTGCTATACTGTTCCTGACAGGTGGACCTCAGCTACAGTTTGTACATTTTCAATGATGATCTAACTTACCACTTCAGCCTATTCAGTTCAATAAGTTTGTATTGTTAGAAGATTCTTTTTGGTTTTTTCCTCCTTCCCTTTTTTCCATCTTTTCTCCTGTTCCTTGTTCTGTTGTAAATGGAAATCTTGATTTATTTATACTTCCACTCACTGGTTCTCCAAAGCTATATAGAATGATGCAGATCTTTCTTATACACGTTAGCCCTTTTTTGTATTTGATGCCAACCCTCGTGCTGGCCCCAGGGAATCTGGTGTCAGGGATAAATATCTCAGTTTCATCAGTCCTTGGCCCTTCGCTCTCCTGGGAACATTTCTCTGGATGAGCTTTTTGTTTATTCATGTCACGCTCAACACTTGGAATTCAGACTGGAAGGTGGTATTGTGGACAATGAGTTTAGGCCTTCCAGGTTCTCAACACTATGTTCTATTAACTAGGAATAGAACTATTAAGTGCTACACTTCTACCAGGTTTATGTTTGTATCACTTATGTTATTGGTTCATATTATGATGGCTACTGAAATCCATGGGTCTTTCTTATAAAAGATATAACTATTGTTATTGTGGAAACTTTAAGAAATGTAAAAAATAGAAAAAAGTCACCTAAGTAAGTTCATCATACTTTAGGAATGTATTTAATATGTTCTTGAATATATTTTACAAAAGTGAATAATACTAGACATGTAAATTTATAATCTTTTTCAACTTTTTGTATCATGAAAGATCTTTATATTCTAGTCAATATGAAATTACTTTATTAAATTTAATTTCTTTGTAGGATTCCTTTGTGCAGTTGTATGGTATCATGATTTATTTAACCTTTTTCCTAATGATGATTATCTAAGTTGTTAATACTTTCATTTTTTATGATGAACAATGCTGTGATGGGTATTCTCCATACACATTTGCCTATTGATTTGATAAATTCCTGGCAGGGGAATTACTAAACAGAATATGCACAACTCCAGAAACTGTTGCCCATGTTATACTTTCTCTAACAGCACAGAAGACTGGGCTTCTGGTTGATTCTGATGATAACGAGGGTGGTTGGGGCCAAAGTACACTATGGGAACTTTACATACTTATAAAGTGTGGAAATGGGGACAATGTACTTGTCAAACACTCAGGTGCATTGTGTGTGTGTGCATGTGTGTGTGTATCTGGCAGATTTTCATGCATATGGAAATAGGCAAGCACCTAAGTAAGTGCACGCAAAGGAGAGACATAACTCTCCTTATGTAGGAGAGTTTAGGGGAGGAGAGGGAGAGAGGACAGAGTTTGTCGCGCCATGTGTGGCCCACATGACTTGAGAGGATTCTTTGAGGGGCAGGCGTGAGTCCTGTAGGATCTAGTTTGTGCATCTGGATTCCTTGGTTGGTCTTAGACCTTAGGGATAAAAGCTTTTCTGATAGTAACATCTCTGCCCAGTTTCTTCTGTCGCTCCCATGGCTCTGGCAGATCCCCCTGCCACTTGCTAAGTCATTTACCAGCCTGCCTGGCAGGACCTCCTCCTCAAACCTGGTATTTTGTCTTCAGTACCATATGCTGGCCTCCTGGATTTTTGTAGATGACCTTAACTTCTTGATGTGAAGTTTTACTCCCGTGTCCTTTTAAAAATTGGAGTTATGACTCTGAGAACAAGAACTATCTTTCCATTGTTATATTTCAGAAAGTAATTTGGTATCTGTGTCACAGATTTTTAGGGTATGCCTATGGATTTGAGAAGGAAACAAATGTGACATTAAAAAAAAAATCTTTGTAAATGTTTTTGTAGCAATTGATTTAAAAAATAGGAAAAACATTGCTAGGCCTTCCACAAGACAATCCTTCAGTATGGTGAAGTAAAGCATGTTCTTAGGTTATTAGAATTAACTGTCATTCTTAAGTTTAACACCCTGTCACTCTCAGGGGAAAATGCACATTGTTCAGTGCCCTCTTCAGCTCTGTGTCCCAGCAAATCCTGCCTTGTTTTTATTCCCAGTCATTCCACACTCCATTTATCTCAGATATACACCTTTCCTCTGTCTGAATGTTCTGTTATTCTTTCTCTGTCTGCAAATTATTGCTTAGCCTTCCAGGTTGGGTTCAGACGTTACCTCTTCCAGGAAGGCCTCCCTGAGTTTCCCCTTACTCCAGACCAAAGGGACCTAATGGAACAGGGTGCCTAGTGAGACTGAATTAAGCACACACTCCTCTGGGTTGTCTTGGCTGCATGGTCTCCCTCACTCCACCGTGACAATGAAATCATGGTAAGAAAAACCACAAGTAAGTAAAGTGATTATTAATCAGAGGATGAGCAGTGATGGTTTGGATAGCTCCAAGCAATGGTAAGGTATGGGAAGGAGTTCTGGAGGGGTTTGAGCAGCAGACAAATGGAATCACAAGGGAAGGAATGTTGGTTGTATGTATAAAAGGGTTGAAACAATCCTGGATTTAGTTGTGGTCAGTGCAGCTGGTTAAATATGTGTATGTCCACAATGCCACACATGTCCTGTCTGATGCCACTGCGCCTGGTGGGCTGGGGAGAGAGGGGTTATGAATCAGCACGACTAAGGCCTGGCTGTGATAAGGCAGACTTTTCTAGAGGACTAGGGATCCTGGAGTCCCAGCTCAGAACAGAATAGGAAGCTATTTCCTATTGGTTTAAAATGTCTGTATTCCTAAATAGGTTGCCATCACTCCCCACCACAGGCACTCTTTCTCCTAAGTCATTTCTTGGGCTCCGCCTTATTGCTGGACCCCTTCTCTCGTCCTATGCTGATTTTTCTCTCCTTTTGACCTTTAAGTCTGGACACTTCATACATTCATTCCCTTCTTATCCTTTGGAACTTGCCAGTGAGAAGCTCATAATTTCTTTCAGTGTATACCTCAGACTAAGGTCCTGCCTTTGCATAGCCAGAAAAGATCATTAATTAGCTTTCCCAAACAAAGGAGTTGACTTTCCTGTTATTTTATATGACTGCTTCAGAAGCAGGTACAGTGTTTTATTTCTAAAAGAAAGTTTTCTTTCCTGGGTCCCTTAGAGTATTTTTAGGGGTAGGGGATACAGAGAAATGGGAAAGGACTCTGGTGCAGGAGAAAGAACCTTGGTCTCTGAGTCAGAAGACATGGTTTTAAATGCCCTTTGAACTAAGTGTTCATAGGTGTGTGACCCTAGGAGCACTGCTTAATCTCTCTGAGCAGAAGTTGTCTTATACTGGTTACAAAGTATGGAGAATAGTAATGATTGTTACAGACATTAAAGAGACAATGCATGTTAGAATGAGTAGGACAGGGGCTGGTTCAGAGCAGGTGCTCAAAATTGTAGTTTTAAAAAAGATATTTTTGATCTCTATGATATCATTAGTCACTATTGTGACAATGGTCTTAGTTATCTTTTTTTATGTCTTTCAGTTCTCACTGTCTTATACCTCAGCCAACACTTGGCATAATCCAGCTTTCTAAATTTCAGTAGTCTTGTTGTAAAGTTGCATTTCATTGTTATTTTAACTTTCCTTTCTCTGATTACTTGTTGATTTGAATGTCTATTCTTATGCTTTTAGCCTTTAAGATTTCCTTTATCATAAATTGCATTTTGTAATCCTTTGCCTGTTTTTCCTTTGAGAGTGCTGTCTTCTTATTTTGGATTTAGGAGTTTCTCAGACATTCTAGATATTAATCTCAAACAGGTAAAGCTTTGTGAATATCTCCTCCTGTTCTGTCAGTGCTGTATTAATTTTGTCCATGGTATTCTCTATGGAACTGACAAGTTAATTTTGATGAAGCCTAATTAGTCAGTGTTTTGATTCTTGGTTTCTGTTTTTGCAGTTTAAGAAGTCTTTTCCCATTCTTAGGTCATGGTAGGTCTTCTGCTTTTTCTTTTACTAGCCATTGTAGCATTTAGGTAACTGTTATGGAATGAAAGTTTGTGTCTCCCCCAAATTCACATGCTGACTTCCATATACAATCCCCAATGTGATGGTACTCAGAAGTGGGGCCTTTGAGAGGTAATTAGGTCATGAGGGTGGAGCCCTCGTGGATGGGATTAGTGCCCTCATAAGAAGAGACGTGGGAGAGCTTGCCTTTTCTCTCTGTTCTCTACCATGTGAAGATACAACAAGAAGACAGCCACCAGTAACCCAGGAATCAGGCCCTCACCCAGACACCAGGTGTGTCGGCAGCTTGAGATTGGACTTCTAAGCCTCCAGAACTGTGAGAAAGACACTCTTGCTGTTTATAGCAGTCTGAACTAACATAGTAAGTAATCCAGGTAGAGTTTGTATAGGACTTTGCATGTGCTTGAGCAGGGATCCAGGTTTAGTTTCCTCATTATTTTCTTTATATTTCTAGAACTCAATTGGTACATGGTACTGTTCAGTAAAGTCTGTTGACTGAAGGAATTGAAGTTTCCTCAAAAGTGGGGAAAAGATGCGTGTGTATGTGTGTGGTGTGTGAGTGTATTGTGTAAGTGTGTGTGTGGGGTGAGTGTATAAGGTGTGAGTGTGTATAAATCCTGTGAAAGGTATTTCCCTCTGACCGAGGAAGACTATGGTTAGAACTGGTGGCTATAATCCCTCCTCCCCACCCCAGCTCAAATATTGACTTAGGGTTTGTGTGGGAGGATGGAATGGGAGCATAGGTTTAAGAAAATATTTATCTCTTGATTGAAATTTACTCAGATTTCTGTTTTCAATTTAGTTTTATTTGAATGTGATAGAGTCAAAAGTTATATTAAAAATATCTAAAGCTGGTACCAGTATTGTTGCCTAGAGAATCCCATAGACAAAGGGGCCTGGTGGGCTACAGTCCATGGGGTCACAAGAGTTGGACACAGCTTCGTGACTAAACCACCAAACCACCACCACCACCACTAAAGCTGGTACCATTTAGGTACTGACCAGTTAAAATGAATGCTTTTAATGTGTCACATTGGTGTGTTCTGGCTGGATATTAACCATGGAAACAGTAGTTTCCCAGTTATTATTAGATATTATTTAATGATAATATATATAAAAGAGCTCTGTGAATTTAAAGACTTACACAAATGTTAGGCAATACTATTATTATCTCTGTTTGACTGCTTAGAAATATAATGTGAAAAGCCCTATTTTTCTATATAAAGTGGATTCTGGATGCTAGAATACAACTCTCTGGATCAATGGTTGAAAGAAGATAACTAATTTAAAAAGTTTCCTTTGACTTGACTGGAAAATTCTCTGCACCTCAGTGTGACTTGACATCAGGGTCAACCAGCACCTGTTCTTTGACCTCTGATGCTGTTGAAGTTTTAGTTCAGAAAAGTTTGGGGGCACCTTTGTGGTTCTCCAGTCTGATTCGAGTGTTTTCCTATTTTTAG